TTCACACTATTATCCATATCATCGTCGTTGCTGTTACTATTGAATGACCACCATTATTATCTTCATCGCCACTGTCATTGGTCCATCGATTAGTCGTTATCGATGCACCAGTGGATGAAGCCTACATCCGAATTTTTCGATCGATGACGGTTTGACCATGGTCTTCTCGGCTTTTTGTAGCCCATCCTTTTGTTACGGCTTCTTTGCCCCTTTACCAATGGCTTTCCATGTTTTGCATCCGTAAATAAGCGCAGTAACTCTGCAAACACTGAACTGCGAAATCCACAGGCGGAAGTCAAGGTGATGGGAAGTCTTCAGTAGGAGACGAAGCGTATGTCAGAATCGAAATCATCGTTGAACTGGTTTAACATCATAAGTAGAGTTTGCAATGGCGAGACGCTCTCTTTTGTTATTCAACACCTTGCTGAACTACGTAATGTGTAAGAGCATTGTCCTGAATGGCAACGTTGGACTGATCAGCAGTCAAATCAGGTTTTAGGGCAAAACGCTGTCACATCATATGAATACAGAAATTCTTATAACCAGAGTTTATCGCTTCCAGCGTGGGATTGAAATCCTATAGAGATATGAACTTCTTTATTTATGGTACTACACTGGTGTCCTGTGAGAAGATCAAAATTCCGCGCTGGTCTTCACCTTCCATGAAGATTAATAGAAAGTAATAGAAGGAGAAACTTTAAATATTGAGATGCAGTCATGATGAGCGTCATTTGCGGCATCTTTCCTAGTGGTTATGGTATTGCACCGTTTATCATTTTGGTGCAGTCGACCACGGGTGCTTTGCTTTATGAAGACAATGTCCAAATCTTTGTGACCATTGTATGTTATCTGGTTAACTTCAACCGTCGTTCGCTGCTGTTTTCGCACTCAGTGGTACTTGTAAAAAAATATAAATTTATTTGCGGAGGTGTGGTATTAAGCTAATAATTCCTTCACACGGATTTCGCGCATTATCACACTGCCTCCTTGCTCCAAGGTGCCTAGAAGACAATTTAAGAATGCCGTAGTTCGGTGATATTTTATCCCCTGCGGTGCGCAGATACATCTTTCGTCTTTGTATGGACTAGAACATTTAATGACCCTGCTTTTTAATACTGATGTTTCATAGTCCATTATTCCTTTCTTCGCAGCAACATCAGATATAAGTTCATACGTCAAGAGCATGCTAATATCATGTAACTCTACGAAGCCACTTTTCAGGACGTTATGGCATCACTATTGAAAAGTTTCCTTTAGTGCTATGCGATTGCTTCGTAATCCGCTCCACATTATCCACGTGGCTACCTTATCAGCGTTTTCATTCACACTTAGTAACCGTCGGCATTTATCCTGTGAAGAGGGTTTGACAGTTGATATGCAGTATATTAATTGATGACAAAAAGTTTTGAACCTGGGAAACATCCTTATTTAGAATTGTACAGTTTCTGGAACCGCAAACTATATGCCTTTTTCAGAGTAAAGCAATAACGCTTTGATTATTGCTTCTGTACGATGAAAGAATAGCACCGTTTTAGATTCCGACAACACGATAACTTTAAATAAAGATTTCTCTCTGACTTTGAGCCGTGTCTGTCATCGATGAATGTCCGTATTAACCTCTTAATGTTTAGTACTGAAATGCATTATGCCACGCATATTGTAACGGCCCAAATTTTTTTTGAACTGTGCACAACGTCATACAGTCAGTCTTTCTAATGATTGATCGCTGCCGAAGTTTCGGCCGTTATCTCAAAAACCTTCAGACCTCGATGTAAATGTCATATATATAATAATTACACAGCGTAAATTATATTCATATGCTGTGAAAGTCTGGTATTTTGTTACGTGTATCAGGAATTTAAAGATATTAGAAACCTGCGTTAATATTTTGGAAATCTGCTGTGGTTTTTTGCGACGCAGACTGTTATGAAACTGAGATTTAAGCGTAATTTTTAATTCCACCATATTTGCTTTTTTAATTGAAGGAACATCCTCAGTGCAATTACGTAACCGAAAAGTTAGTTCTTTAACTACGCTTTGTTTAGCCGAAGTCCGAAAATTTTCTTCCTTAGTGACCAATTGCGGACATAATTCGAAAGATTTTTTGATTTGTACAATTCATGTTTTGGTGAAAAATTGTTAATCTAAATTTAAGTAGTTAATACATCTGTCGTATCCTTTGTAATTGTATTGTTGTGTTTCTTGTTTTAGTTTATTTTGATTTCAGGCCTAGGTGAAAGTCTATGGATTCGAATACGATGGTGTGTTGCAGTGAGCAGACCGAGGTTGTGCCTGAAATAGTTCCTTTGCCGTTGTACAATGCCGAAGAAGTATGTTTTTTATTTTACTCGTTTTTTGTGTTGTTTTTCATTGGACGTTAAGCGTTATTACAATTTTGCAGAGCAAATTGCGAGCAACACTGTCATGGCTCATTTCGAAGGCTTACGGGCAAAGTCCTCCAGACGTATTGCGAGATCCGTTCTATCGAGACGAGCAGGTAAGTTCGACGCCATTCGTTAGAGAATACTGTTTTGTTCTGGAACCATATATTGGTGCATCGTATCCTTATTCTCGTTTTTTTCCTCCTTGTTTTTCTTCGTTGTTATGTTAATGTTCCTCATTGTCTTTCGTTCTTTATTTTGTAGAGCGCTCGTTGTTAAGAGTCTGCTACTTGACATGTGCACAAGTGTAGCATTCACATTTCAGCATTAAAACACGAAAGGTATTGGAGATGATTTCCTTGCCACAGATGTTTCACGGCTGGATGGTCTTCTCTCTCTGCCCAGCCAACAATTATTCAGTGGGCTATTCAGGGATTTCTAGACGTCATTGCATTTTGGACTGATGAAGAATGCTTCTTGCGTTCTGTTTCTGTGGGCTGTCTTTAAACTTGTAACGTCATCCACTATGATTTTGTTTGTCACTTTCTTCTAAAAAACGACTTTTGTATCGATTCGCTTCCAGTGAATGACTGTCAGTTGTCGGCCACATACGCCCTGTAGATTTGAAGTAGTTGCTGAATTGAAGCATTTCAAAGATCTGTTATGCCCTCCTAGTTCGCGTTCCTCATAGGATGCAAATCTCCTGTTCTAAAGTGAAGGCCTCGAAGTGCTAGAGGAATCTGTTTCGGTTTAGACGGTTATGTTGCCAGCCATTCGCTAATGGATTTTCCGCGGCCTGAACCTCACATAACGCTCTGATTCTGTTGATCTGGATTAAATTTTGGGGAGAAATTAGAAACGGTTCACGGGATTCCCACCCCGCTTAGACTACTGGACAACCATTTGCCAAAAATGCACAAGAAAAGAAAGCCGCTAAAATAGATTTAGCCTGCCATGTCGGCCTGAACAACACCCACAACCACAGAAGAGGCGTGATTTTTACCGGCTGTCATATTGTGTGCATGTGTGTGGGTGCATGTGTTTTTTAAGCTGAGCATTTCTGGGTTATGTTCACAGTTTTAACTCTAGGCACCGTTACTGCCTCACAGAAGGAAACGTTCTTCTCTGAATACAGATATGCATCTACCTTCTTCCTCCAGGTTGCATGCTGACCTTCCGGCCGGAATCGTTCCTGTTTTGACTCCCACACGAGATACTCAGGGACTGGAGTAAATGGTTTCTACTTAATCGTTTACTTAACAAATTATGTGACCTACCACGAAAGCAGAGAAAGAATATACTTGGAAGAACATTGACTTGTGTTCGTGGTGCACTCACACACAACGAGAACTGGTCGCTGACTGCAGCAGAAAATATGTGAATCCCCTGCGACTTTGACTCTTTCTCCACGATCTATTAATCTGTCGACACAAATTCAGTGCGTTACCTAATTTTGGAACTACTGCATACTTTTCATTCAGCGAAATTATTTCTTTCTATGAATGACACATATCATCATACGTTCATGCAGATCACGACATGGTATAAATGTTTGGATAACGTCATTACACCGAATTTTTCAGACGTGACTATCCAAATGGCACAAATAATATTTTCTTTCTTTTTGTTGACATATCGCCCATTAGGCATAGTCCAGATTTTTTTATTCCTCTTCGAATTGTCGTAAAGTACATGACGCAGGAAATCCCCTTATGCTTTCTTCAGGAATTAACAGGTGGCTTTCAATCCTGGGTTTGTAATTAGCATGTATTTCCCTTAGACATACTACCTTAAAATGTATGAGAAGAGCTCTTCCAACCCCGGTTATCATTGTCTTGTTAGCCTACGTTTTCAGGAATCATGACAAATCTTCGTAGTTATCATGGCACCTTAGCACATATGCTTCACGCCCTACTTCTTCTTGTCATGTAGTTTCATGTCAGTATCAACTCTCCTCGACGGAGGTCAGAAGAAATTTTTCTGAGGTCCACTCATCCCCGCAGCTTATTTTATCTAACCAGCGAATCGCTCTGAAGAAATTTAAATATCCACGCTTACTGTTTGTATCACTAATGAGACTCCGAATTCATTTCTACCATAAATTCTGCTAAAACCTAAGCCATAAGACCAAGTAAGTTCATTTTTTTGTGTTACCAAGACATTTGATCAGCAACAAGAGCACACCTTTGTACGTGCCATCGCTGTGGGGCCGTTTATCATTAATCAAGGATGTGTGGTACTAAGTGGTTACATATTGAATGCGAGGACCTTTCTGCTGAAGAAATAGTTTCTTTAAGTTTGTTGACCAATGATATTTTGGACTTTATTCGCATATTCAATGCTATCTGACGTAAAAGCAAAGGGATATCGATTCAGGTCGATACAGTGCCCGATGTTAGAAAGTCGCATTTACAAAGAACCTTTCTTGAAAGCTGCGATTTTTGTTGGCCAACAGCGACTTAGTCAGGCGCAAAGTCTTCTGATGATCAGTTTGGCGATCCATCAAACAATCTAGTGTGAATCCTATTGATTCAATAAGTACTGTTTGTCATATGTTCATTTGAGAGGAGGTAACGTGGCGGTTTCATGCCGGAACGATTTGTGGTCTGTGACGCCTGAACGTTTCTAGCAACTACTTCAACTGAAGCCGCCGCTGATCAACGTTCTGGTATCCAGCGAGCTGTACTGCACGGCGGCCGCCGTGATCTTCCACGATGCGTCGTTCATCAGTCAAGATCACAAGGCGATCCTGCATTCGCTCTGCCGATATTCGATCCAAGTGCATGACTGCGATGACCAACCCGTCACTGAAACCGTGCTGACGCAGACTGCGCCGTTTCGAACGGTAGGTTGTCAACTTTTGATTGATTTGTCATCGTTTGTTCCAGAGGCTGAATAATTTGTTTTCACCTTGCTTTTCTTGCTGAAATCTGGCTGAAGGATTGTTAAGTCCATGTAATGCCGTGGTTCCTATTTTTTTGGCTGTGTCCAAAATTGTTGCTGTCATCATCATTTGAGACAGACTATTTGAATAGCAAACCCCTGTGACCTGTTGAAACGGTATTGCAAATTTGTATTAAACAACCTTTGTTGTCGCAGCAACACTGCTGAATACGTTAGAGAATCTCGACCGAAAAATTAGTTATTCTTGAAAACCAGATGAATCATTTTCTCCCTACTCAAAGGCAAAATACAGTTTTACCGCACCAGTTATCGAGAATATGCCTTGCAGTCAGTACCAAGAAGTCATTTTTCCAGTTTCATTCAGGAGCGTTTGAGACATGTAGTGGCGAAGAGACTGAAAAATTACTGGATAGGGTTCAGAAACCGTCACCCCTACAGTAACACTTGCTCCTGCTTCAGTGTCTAACATTTCAACACCTGTGGTGCGCATCGTTCGTCGATTTCAGAATTACTTTTGACTTGATTCATCACCATGTTGAACATCACGTGACACTGCGGTATTCCAACCAGAATCGCCAACATAATGGAACTACTGAACAGCAGGTCGGTGTGTGCCGTGAAAGCAGAGTGCGCTCGGCTGAAATGATTCGAAATCAGCAACAGTGTCAGGACAGGTGACGTATTATCGTTTATGATATTTGGCATTTTCATCGATTACGTGTTGAAGAAAAGCATTTACCATCATCCAGTGAGTGGACTGATGCTAAGCCGAAAACAGCTCATTGTGCCTCACCTTACATCTGCAGATCTCAGCTGCACGGACGATATGGTTTTGCGCAGCGACACGAGAAACTAACCTCGGCTGTTGACAGAATCGGTTCAAGCCACTGCAGAAAGATTGAACCTTCCACCCAAGCGAGTGAAAACCAAAGTGATGAGGAAATTAAGAACAGTGGCGACGAATCTTTCATTCCATGAACTTCT